ATTTTTCTTATTTGCGTTTATATGACTGAAATATTTTATTGTTCTTGTAGATCGAATTCCAAGTGAAGTATCGCTTGTTTAAAAAAGATCAACATTTTGTAGAAGTGTCAAAAGACACAGAGTTGGTGTACCAACTGGAGCTTTTGGAACCAGTGGATGTCATCACGATCAGTAGTGGAGGTAGGCGAATCATGTCTAGGATAAATTTCAAATTATAATCTTAAAAACATAAAGGAAATTACTATGTTTATATATATATTATATTACTACTAATATTATTTATAAAGATACTCATATTTGAATGTTAATTTTTTTCTTCCCATAATGTGCTTTTCTATTCACATTGCTAAGTGTCTTAGGTTAAGTTGAAAATCATAGAACATTAAATGAGGATGAATAATTGTACTCGTAATGCAGAAAGTACAGAAAAATTGCAAGTTTTTATTTCTGTTAGCTTAACCTTGGTGTAAAACCAGTTTTAGATTATGAAAGAAACTTCAAACAGTAATTATAGTTACGAAGGTCTGCCATATGTAGTGACCCTTTATTTCATGGTTAACCAATGCATGGGTTATCAAGTTACGAAATATGTATTAACCCATAATTTCATGGTTGACTAAGATATTGGCTTTCATGTTACGAAATTTGCAGTAACCCTTTATATCACGGTTAGCCAACGAAGGTTTAATTTTATGTCAAAGTCTGTCGAATGCTAATGCCGTGTCTTCCGAGACATTCCTTGCTGTAACGGCTGTTATCGTAAACTTAAGTCACCTAAATTACAACTTCTTATTTTAATACTGTGGTATATCGAACATTTTACAAACGAATGACCCTTCGACTGTGTCACTCGGTTATAATATAATATGTCATTTACTTTGCACATGTCTTTTGTATAAATGTATATGTTTCTAAGTTTCTTATTTGAAACGTGCATTATAATTTAAACAATCCCCATGAATTGGATTTATAAGCTATCGGATTTAATATCTTTATTTACTCATTCTTGACTATGTATTGATATGCTACACGATACCTCAGCGGTAAGTTTTAGGGCTAAGAACTCTAATTTGATTAGATACCATTGGTTGGCAGAGTTCGGATAACCCTCTTTGCGGCTTTGCGCTACAAATGAAGCAGACAAGCAAATGTATTAAAATGTTATTTGAAATACAAAA